GACCCCTTAGCAAAAATGACTTTTAAGGAAATTTTTGGAAAATGGGCATAGAACCGCCCACTTACGCCTACATATGTGTGTCTAGGTGCCCGGTTTATCAATTTCTACCAAACTCGACACATTTAGCAACCTTGGCGCAAGGAAGTAATATTTTGAAAATTTTTGAAATCGGACTAAAACTACTGCCACTTCCATATAACGGTAAATTTGCGAAATACGAAAACTCCGATATTTCAATAACTACAGATGCCAACTTACAACGATTTTTAACAAGACGCAGGATTATTGATTTTTGTTAAATGGGTACTCAGTACTCTGATAAGAAATGTTAGGGCAGGGTAGCAGAAATTCAAAAAGCCATGGCTTAAACGAATTTCTTTTGTTTCAAAATTGTTGACTTCAAAATACTATATATACAATGCATTTGTACATAAGTACCAGTTGCAGCTGCATTAAAATATATTTAGTTCCACTGCTTATTTAAATGCTTAACAATTTCAGGAATACGAGTAGCCTATGCAAAAAGTGACATTTGTAATTTGATGCGGCCAATTGCGCAATTACATCGCATTATTTAAAGCCCTTAAATGCCATTGAATGCCAAAGTGATTTTTTTCAGAACTTAGTTCAAGCGCAGCAGGGGTTAATGAGCGACTTAAAATTGATATGCCTATTTAACGGTTTTGTTATTTGTATATTTAATATATATATGTGTGTAATACTTACAGACATACGTATCTTTCTTAAATACACTTTTTTTCTCCCGCTGCACTAGTCGCAATTCAATTTTACATCGCAATGACATTAAATTGTGCTTTGTGGCTTTAAATATTTAATAATGCAAATATGTTTTACCGCAAAAACGAATTAAAGCAATAATTGGCAATCACTGCGTGCGGGTATTTATAAAACAAGTAAATGTACTTATGTTGTCAGGTTCGGTTTTTTTCCTGCTTGTATTGACAGAAATGTTAATGTTGTTGAGGTTAATAAACAAGAGCGCGAAACAATCTATTTTAAAATGTTAAGTTATGCGAATTGAGTAAATAGTTTGGAAGCAAATTTGGTAGTGATTTACATATATGTATTATTGCGTATAGATAATGGTTTATATATTTATATATGTTTACATATGTACCTGTGTATAAAAGGCACTTAAAAGTTGCATTTAAGCATCTAAGCCAACTTTAATTTCTTCTTGAAAACTCTCAATTAGTACAAGATATTGCAAGGCTTAGCTTGCAGGTTCTACACCGATGGCTCCAAGCTAGAACTGAATGTAGGAAGTGGGATATATTCGCAAGAACTCTCACTTAGCCTCAGTTTTCGTCTGCCGGATTGCAGTAGCGTTTTTCAGTCTGAACCAACGAAGCTGCTAGATGGCTGGTCGATTCTCCTACTAATCTAAATGCAGTAAATATTTTTTCTGATAGCCAGGCAGTTATCAAAGCACTTAATTGCGACAAATATACATCGAAGATTGTCATGGAATGTAGACGTACTCTAAATGAGCTGGCAAGGAGTTACTCTACTCAAGTTGTATGGGTACCAGGTCATAGGGACATACTGGGCGGACGAGCTGGCTCGGAAAGGAATCCTACTGCCTGCGATCAGTACAGCTCGTAATGCGGGTATTCAGCTATCAGNTGGGCGGACGAGCTGGCTCGGAAAGGAACCCTACTGCCTGCGATCAGTACAGCTCGTAATGCGGGTATTCAGCTATCAGCTATAGCTCAGCGAATTCATGATTTTATTTCCTCTATGATCTTGCAACTATGTACAACGTTGGTTCGATGCGTCAACCTCTAGTCTTATATCATCTAAGCCAATAAATCTTCTTTTAAGCAAACTGAAGAGCACGGATGTGCGTTTTCTGTTATAGGAATAGGAATTCTCGCTGTTTCACAGGACAAAAAGTTCCCCGTACATTCTAGAATATCGTTCAAGAGAAGCTATACCTACCGTGTTCTTTCTTGGAAAGATGTGGTCTTATATGTCCAAGCCAACTCTGCAGTTGCCTGACTGCGATAGAAGAAAAATACTCGTTTGTTTGCTCTGGCTCTTTGATCAAGATATCGTGCTGCCTACTAAATAGCAAATACTTCTTTTTGATACACCCGTGACGTGGTGATGCGCCTAGAATATCTGAATAACCAAAGATTCCTTTGATCCATCAACTAGTTTCTCTGAGTCTTACTGTCGCAGTAACGTCTGCCCCAAGCAATTTCTTCAAGCGGAGGTAGACGCAAGATCATATTTTGGATGTATGAGGGCGTGAGGTAAAGGTGCGCTTACACAGTTTTTTGCTCTTTGAATGAAATGAAAAGTAGTAAGTGATATGAAAAGTAAAATCGTATAACATAAGCACAGGGCCGAATCAGACAAGACATACGGGGTTTCTAAATATTTCGACTAAGAGGTCATCTATTGGCGCATTATGAATTTTATAATATATAGGAAATTTTCTAAATAACTCCGGCGCCACCTAGCGGGTCCCTTTCAATTTGGAATTTTCAATCCAGTCGACAAAATTAGAAACACTTTTTGGGAGCCCTTATTTCGGATATTTTGAAGCGATAGACTTCCCTTGCTGGATACTATGCTCCTTTTTATTTACAGCCATGCACCGACGCGTCTATTGTGATACATGCCTTCCTGGTAGCCTTTTAATGCCAGAACTATTTGAGGACCTGCCAAGAAAAGGTCTTATCAAAAAAAAAAAAAGGTCTTATTGAAAAAGTGATTCCTGAAAGCGTTTACATAGAAGCGGTCTTCGTTTTGAAAGGGTGTGAAAAATATATCATGATATTGCGAGACTAAAGCAGCCGGTATTCGTTGCCATTTCTTAATTATTATTAAAAAAAAAGACGGAACTATATTTCGTATGCGCCGCACTTTATTCTATTTTGGAAAAAAGGGGATATAATCAAATAAGTATGTATATGTAGCACGAGAAGTGATAGCGAAATAACTGTAACGGTATTTTAAAGATTTTGAAATGGAAAATTTAGAAAAAATAGTATAGTTGGACAAAATAATTACCTTCAGAATAGAAGGTTTTAAATTCTTTTCTTTTTTACCCCGGAACCAGTATGCAATGAACTTTTTAACATATTATGGCGATTCCTACGTCAAGCAATCCATTTCCAAGCTGGAAAGAATCGAAAAAAGGTATATTAATTTTTTTAAGTTCATTACAAACTGTTTTTAAGTAAAAAAAAAAATTTTAAAAGATATAAAAACGTTTACTTTTGATGTTCATTTTAAAGGTCGGATTTTATGAAAATTTACCATGATCTCAAACTCGACTTCCAAACTAAAATTTTTGAATTTGAATGAAATTAAGAACCTTCTATTTTTAAAGGTAATTTTAAAGGCCACGAACGAGACTATTTCCGCTGCCTTCTCAAACTTAAAATCTTTAAAATGCCGAAACTATAATTTTGCTAGATATCTCTCCTCCTACTCTAGATATTTGATTTTGTGCCTTTTTTCCAAAATAGAACATAGTGCGCCATGGAAAACTTTTGGTAGTATTTGAAGGCTTTATACGAGTATTTACTTTAAATTGCACTATGAAATTTACACTGTTTTTACTTTCTACAAATTTAAATGAAAAGTAGCAGCGTCTACTGTGGTTGCGTGCCTTTTTTTTGCATTATTATTATTTATTTTTTTGACTCTCGCGCTTTATGCGGTTTCGAAAGGCGATAAAAACTTGCGCTGAAACCAATGGCAAAAAAAAAACACAAAAACAAAGTGGTATGTGTATGAGATGGTAAAGCATAATTCCGCGCACGTACATACATATCGATTTCAGGATTTATTTACAGGGTTTTTATAAGCAAAAAAATAAATCAATTGAACGCTTTTGTTTTATAGAAAGAATAAATATTTTAATATTTTTTATACATACTCCTGTTAATAAAGCAAATGAGTGAAGAAAAAATTTCTCATTTATTAATTTTTTCTGTTTTTGTTATTTTCTCTACAATTTGCATCTCAATAAATCACTCCATCAACTGCATTTCGCAAATTTAATTGAAAAAAAAAACACGGAACAAATCAAAAATAAATTACAAATGCTGGAAAATATTACTGAAAATACCATCACGAAACAAATCAAAAAAAAAATGTCTGTGAACTACAAACGACGCGCGAATAACGCATAAATCCTACCATTTCAACGTATATATGTACAACTTTCCCAACCTACACAACAATAAAAATGTTAATTAAAACACAAATACATTTGACTTGTAACTTTCGAACATAAAATTGTTGCCGAAAAACCAACAACAAAAAACACAAATCAAAATCCAAAACTCCAATTTGGCTTACAAATATAAATCGATGCCTGAACAAATTTTCAAAAAAAACAAAAAAAAAACTCTTTGCTGCTCACTTGGACACGTTCTGTTGGGCGGTTGCTTCGCCACCTACTCTGCCCTTTCTTCGCTCCCTCCCACTACTTCCGACGCACTGTACACTGTACTTGGCCGCGGCGTTCACACCCACCCCTCATCAGGTGGTCAGGATGTCGAAGTGGACCTCTCAACGGAAATAATCAAGCAACACTTTCAGGTGAGTAAAAATGCATAGTTGCATCAAGTTGCCGCCCTGTGGCACATAGCTTGTGGCATTGTCTAAATAGATGAACATCATCAGCAGCTTCTGAATCAAGCAACAGCAGCCTCATTGGCATACGAAAATGTCAACTGTAGTATTTTTACACTCTGTTGTTGCACTTCATCGCTGCTGCTGGTTTTCTATGCTCTGCTGCGGCGCAAATTATGCTTGCAACCAACTGGTGCAATCAATTCGCATGCATAGCGATTGCATGCGATTCTTTAGTGCTTAACAACTGTGTAACTGACTTATTTTTTGCTTTTTTCTTACTTTCAATCTTTTATCGTACTCTCCTACCCATTTCCACCTACGTTGCTGCTGTGGATGCACGCCACTTTACGATCGACCTGCGTGCGCTTGCTGACCATTTTATGANCATTGTTGCCGAAAAACCAACAACAACAACAACAAAAAAACACAAATCCAAATCCAAAATTCCAATTTGGCTTACAAATATAAATCGATGCCTGAACAAATTTTCAAAACAAAAAAAAAACTCTTTGCTGCTCACTTGGACACGTTCTGTTGGGCGGTTGCTTCGCCACCTACTCTGCCCTTTCTTCGCTCCCTCCCACTACTTCCGACGCACTGTACACCGTACTTGGCTGCGGCGTTCACACCCACCCCTCATCAGGTGGTCAGGATGTCGAAGTGGACCTCTCAACGGAAATAATCAAGCAACACTTTCAGGTGAGTAAAAATGCATAGTTGCATCAAGTTGCCGCCCTGTGGCACATAGCTTGTGGCATTGTCTAAATAGATGAACATCATCAGCAGCTTCTGAATCAAGCAACAGCAGCCTCATTGGCATACGAAAATGTCAACTGTAGTATTTTTACACTCTGTTGTTGCACTTCATCGCTGCTGCTGGTTTTCTATGCTCTGCTGCGGCGCAAATTATGCTTGCAACCAACTGGTGCAATCAATTCGCATGCATAGCGATTGCATGCGATTCTTTAGTGCTTAACAACTGTGTAACTGACTTTTTTTTGCTTTTTTCTTACTTTCAATCTTTTATCGTACTCTCCTACCCATTTCCACCTACGTTGCTGCTATGGATGCACGCCACTTTACGATCGACCTGCGTGCGCTTGCTGACCATTTTATGAATGCAATTGTCAACACACAACGTCATGCCTAAACATTCAATGGCATCGGTGCTGCTGCCGCTCCGCCATCACCTCCACCAACTCGTAATCAATGACGCATGCAACCAACTACCAACCAACGAACCAACCAACCAACAACAATGCGTACACGCATTGGGCGTGTCATTTGGCGCTTTCGTGACTTTGGTCGCTTGAACGATTTGATGACTGCTTGTATGCTGGTCGGCCGCCATTCCTTGCCCCACCGGCCGTGGCTTGGTTTTGATGGTGCAGAGTACCTGCCACACTGCATTGGACACATGTCGGGAGGACGCGTCATGCTCGTCGTCTCTGCAGCCAATGTTGATGCATTGTGAAATGCATCGTTGCAATCGCAATGCATGCATGACCTCACTGCAAGCCTTCTACAAAGGTCCTCACGAGGATTTGAATTTGGACATTGCCTTCTGCCTTTGCAAGTAAGTACCGCTTAGAGAGTTGAATGACGCCAGTACTAAATATGTATGTATAAATCAACATCTCATTCGTATATATACATATGTATGTATGGATGTGTGTCGTTTTTTGCCTTTGTCTAACCTTAACGTCTTGCGTGCACTAAACTGCTGCAAAGCCTCGGGCTGACACGCTTGTGTGCGTGTCACATTCATTTTACAANGTATACATATGTATATGTATGGATGTGTGTCGTTTTTTGCCTTTGTCTAACCTTAACGTCTTGCGTGCACTAAACTGCAGCAAAGCCTCGGGCTGACACGCTTGTGTGCGTGTCACATTCATTTTACAACATTCTTACTAGTTATCTGGCCCCTACACGCTTCGTGGCTTTCGAGTCTTGATGCTGCATTTTAGTGGAATCGCTTACGCTTCAAGCATTTCGAACATTTCTACCTTTTCATTCATTTGCTATGATTTTCTACTTTTTTTTTGAGTGGGAATACCTTTTTTGTAAATTTTTCCAATTTTAATTTTTTATTTTTGCTTCCACTTTGCAGAAAAACAACGAATCGTCACGACATGTGCATGATTGCACAGGAAAAACTCCATCCAACTTGTGCACAAAGGCCAGCCGATAACAGTAATCAGCAAGGTTCAAATGGCATATACTATCACCCGCCACCGTCCTGTCACTCGGTGGCAGAGAATTGTAAAGAGGATCGTGAGTGCAGGTAAGTGGAAGCGTACGGCACTTTGTTGTGCAGTAGAGATTGTGTAATTTGGAGCGTTTGCAGCGAGTAGCCATGCATTAAGTGGCCGATTTGGTACTTTCGATAGGCGAATTTTGAGGTTTGCAAATATCGAATGTTAGAGCAAGTCTGTGCTTTTGTCTGTAATTTTTCTGCTAATACATACATACGTACTCATTTGTGTTTACATACATACGTATGTGCTATACTTATCAAAGTGTAAAATGTATGACAGCGTGGACAATTGTAATTCCAAGGCACAAAATATCGCCTCATTAACTAATACGACTTACGTGGTCGATAGCGCTTGCAAACTGTGTGACTACTTCGAGCCTTAAAGAGCAGGACAAACTCAAGCAATACCAAAGTGGAGCATCTAAAATCTTGGGGCACCCCGAATTATTGCTTAAAGGCGTTTTTTTTTATTTATTTATTCGACCGCAAAATAATGCAGAATTTAAAAAATACAATAAAAAATATAGCAAACTAGCATTTTCCTACAGCTCGGGCTGAATGAGGTTCAGTGTAACGTTATCATTTTAAATGTAGCGTATAGCTATGTATGAAATTACCACTTAATTGGCAATTTTAACAAAAAAAAAAATCAAATGAAAAAACTTTTATAAATACATACATACCTCGCTTCCATAAATGGCCTAAAAAGTAGGGCTTTCGATTTCTGCTCGCACATTCTCGAGCATTTCGATACCCGAGAAACCGAGCAGTCGAGTTCTCGACACAATCTGGGGTAGCCACAGCTTTTTTTTGTGACCGACAATGAAATCTTCTTAAGGCACCGAAAGCAAAAAAAAAAATAGTCGTTTTATTTGACACAGTTTAATGTTGATATGAATGTACATTTATGTATGCATAATACGCGGAAGCTTTTTTGTTAATCATCACCTCTGTACCCTTGGTTCGAGGAATCAAATTAAAAGGATTGACCTGTGAATGTACAATAACGTTATATTTTTTGCAAAAAACTTTTATAAAAATTAAATACAAATTGTTTAGTTAGTTAAATAAGTTCTTAAAATATCGATCAAAATGGTTTTGAAAATTCGTTATTGCTTTATTATATATGTATGTATATGGGGGTTGCCACCAGTTTAAAAAATAAATTATAGCTTAAATTAAGGCAATGGGAAAATTTAAGTATGTGTTATCATATCGGTGTCAGACAAAAGATATTGTCGTTTGAAAATATTTTGAACAGGGTTGCCACCTGTTTAGGAATTTAAATTAAATATATGCAATCGGTTAAAGAAATTACTATAATGTGGATATCAATCAAAACGGCTTTGAGCAAACTCTGTTTCTAAACTAAATGTAGGGGTGGTTTCCACCTGTTTTAAAGACTAAATTCACCTAGATTGAAGGAAATTCTCTTTTTCTTTATTGGGTCTGTAATAACCTAAGCGATTTTGGCCGAGAGCAAAATTGCACGCCAGTCATTTATCTTCTGTGTCAACTGACGCCAGTTGGAAAAGTCAAGTCTTTCTCCACCTTCCTTCAACGCAGAAGAGGCCTTCTTTTTCGGCTGTTACTAGCATCCAACCGCGCTGAATGCTTTCAGAGCCGGAGCGTTAAGTAGTTAAGGGTATTAGATAATTTAACTATGCATCATAATATGGGTGTCAGAAGAAAATGGTTTTAAAAAGTTTTAGTTTAAAACTTTATTGAACAGGGTTGTCATCTGTTTACAAAGTTAAAACCATTGTGTACATTAGGTTAAATCCATTACTACAAACTGGATATCAATCAAAATGGCTTTAAGAAAAACTTTATTTCTAAGCGATTTGTAGGAGGGTTGCAACTTGTTTTAAAAGTCGAATATATCTAATTTACACATAAGCCCAAAGACGAAGACAATACGAAGGCGAGCACGAACACGAAAACTTTTACTAACATTGAGACTTAAATTAGTATTAAAAGTAACGCAAATTTCTGTAGGGCGAAATAAAAATGAATCGAAGTAATGACAGATGGCGCTAGTCAAAAATTGGCTCACAGAAGATATTCGCCACGGCATATATTTATTAGTTCATGGCGCATATGACTGCAGTTAATTTAGGTCCGATACTATATTGATAATTTTTAATAATTTATATTTGTATTGATTTATTAAATTTGATGCAATGAAATCAAAACGAATATTCAATGTACATTTTTTAACTTGAATGTGTTCTGGATAAATTCAAGTATTCTACGTTTAGGTTTAGCCGCTGTGGACTGTGGACTGACGCCTTTTTTATAAGTTTTCAAACTCTCTTATATGCACTACTAAGTATTAACTTTACAAAGCGATATTTGAAAGTATCCAAGGCAGGGCGCAGAAATATTCTCAATATAGGTAAACCTTGAGTATGCGAAGGTGTCAGCTACGAAAAATTTCGAGTTGAACTGCTAATATTCTTTTTATAGAGACACTTCTTGTGAGTTTTATTGAATTGTTATTGTGAAGCTGAAGTAAATATTGCAAGGAAAATGCAGGAAATTGTAGGTATTTATGACTCGAGCCAACTCACTGCAGGTTCCACAGAGGCGCATGCTGGCCTTAGTAGTAACAAGATAGTGATCCAGGGGTACATACAAGTGGCTTTGTTGATGTATCCTTCCTCGTATCGACGATGTTCATCAGCCTCTCTCCGTTGTCAAAGGTGTTGTCATGAAAGCTGAAGTTTTCCACAGTGGGACCAAATACGTACATAGATATGTCTTTAATGCCCTCTCTGACGTTGAGTTTGGTAAGTACAATTCTAAAAACGTGCTTTAGGTCTCAACGTCCTTCTCCGGCGTCGGGACCTGCGCATGAATGAGGCTATTGTTTGTTCATTTTAGCTTTGATACGAATCATAGCAATTTGATTAGTGATCAATGCCAATGAACTCATAACAAATCTCTAAATATAATTCTTTTAAACTTATTTCGCCAGAAACTTATAAGTAATTTTAGCTACCTATTTTCAAACTTCCCGAAAATGTTTGACAATTAAACAAATTCTAACCGACTGCTAAACTTGGTATGAACTTAAGTGTTTAGCTGCTCTAATTGAAACCAACAACAACAGCGTTGCATTTGCATGGTAATCGTTCTGTCTATACGAAAGCATCTGCAAGGCGATTAGTCATTAAACACGAGACAAAGTGCATTACTTGTCGGCTCTATGTAGTGCGAGTACGTACTTTGATGGTGTAATACTTATGCGTATGGCAGAGAGAACAGAGATGGAACAGGCGAAAAATGATTGCCTGCCGTGGGCACCTGCCTCAGATTCTGCATCAATGCATCATAAAATTGACACTTTGTTGAAATATGCAGGTTGCCTGCCATGAACTGCACTCACGTGCGCGCATACATACATACATATATCACAAGGAGGCGTAGCACGAAAGTTCAACGAAGATGAGTTGAGTTGTTATTAAAAGTGACACGTTCCTCAAAATTATTTACGGTGCAAACACACGCCAACATATACTGACACATAGATTGTATGTAAGTATATATGTATGTAAATTAGGGGGGTCCGAAAAAATGCATGTGAAAAATTAATGTCGGAATTTTTAAAGCGCCCAAAGTTTTCCATGTATTTTATATGGAGAAAAAACAACTTTTCGTAGAAATGGTATAGAATTCTTGAGAATCAATATTTTTCTATCAGAAAACTCTGCTTATCTGCAGGAGATTCCCAATAATAATACCCATTTGTTTATTTAACAATTTTTCCATTGCAATTATAATTTTTAAGACCGCCAAAAAACCCACAAAAACCCCGAAAAAAGCAATGGGCGGACCAATTAAAAATCGTTAGTATTAAAAATGGATAAATAAACAATTGGGTATTATTATTGAAAGTCTCCTGAAGAGAACCAGAGTTTTCCGATTGAAAAATATTTATTTTCAAAAATTCTATACCATTTCTACGAAAAGATGTTTTTCCCCATATAAAAATACATCGAGAACACTGAGCGCTTTGAGCGACCTATCAAAATTTTTTGATTTCAAAAAAAAAATTGTATACTTTTTTCGATTAAGAACATTCCTGAGGGTATTACAATTCCGTCTTAACTGTTTTGGACCACCCATGTACATATGTATGTACATACATATACCTGCTGCAATCTGCTGCAAATGTGACATATGGAACAGCTGCTAGCGGCAAATGCTGTCAACAATTTTGTTTGTCCTGGCAAACAACTAAACTAAACTGCATATCTGCCATAATATGAGTGTGGCAAACATGCGGAAAGGCGCGCCATTAAAGTTTTTGCTAAGTTTACTTCGCTTGCTGGCACGAGGATGTGTTTTCTTTGGCGTGACGGGAGTTAGGATGGATATTAATACACTCTCTAACCAACACTCACACATAGCCATATGCGAATGTTAATGTTCATATCGTTGCAACGTAGCAGACATGGTTACGTACTCGTACTTTCGCATCTACATAGGTGCATACAAGCAAGTATGTATGGATGGGTATTTACAAGCGTCGTTGTAATTGCACTTACATATGCGCCTGGCTGTTGCGTTGATCGTTTGCCACTTCGTCGTTACTGGGTGCAAACTGAACGACCACAAACTACGTGGCTGCGAATTTAATTGCCTTTTAAGTGAATCGCTCTTTGGTTCCAGAGTAAATAACCAAAATGCGCTAATGGCGATACTCATTTGATATGCGACACATCTAACACGGTAGCTGTGTATGTAGATACGGTCGACTAACTAACTAGTTGGATTTGTTAACGCTGCCTATTAATAAATACATAGACAGAGCCAGTCATAGAGGAACATGTTCAACAAAATTTAAATTGTCATTATCTTTCAAGTGGCCATCAGGCTAGGGGCCAGTTTTTCATTGCGAGTTTAACTCTGTTTGTCGTTTAAACTAAGTTTAAAATCAGTGTGCAGTTTTTCATTCAAATTTAGGCTTATCTAGTTTAAACCATTTTAAAATGCTCAATCTAGCTGGATCAAACTGAGTTTAAACTACACGGTGCTACAAAAAACAGGCATCATATACACCCGAAATAAACCCAGTATTGGTGTAGCTATGGTGGAGTAAATCAGAAAATAGGTTTCNAAGGCATCATATACACCCGAAACAAAACCCAGTATTGGTGTAGCTATGGTGGAGTAAATCAGAAAATAGGTTTCGTATAGTTTCTGAACTCTCCCTTTGTATTTATTTAAAAACAACAGTTATTTCGTACTTAAATTTTAATAAGCCATGAGTTTGAAGTTTGCTGCCACTTTAAATTTTTAATCTTTTTGTTAGGATATTTTCAGTTGCTGTGGCACTATTTCTAAAAATCCAATGGAACCGTGTTTACGAACTTTAAATGCAGATGTGATGTTTCTTTGTTTTTGAATAGAAAAGTTTTACCACGAATTTTTCAAACTTTATTATTAAGAAAAATTTTATTCGAGGATAATGAGGTACCTATGTATGAACTGGGTGCGAAAACTCAAATTGCCGCAGGTAGATTTTGGCAAATCCTTAAAGCGATATTTTTTATTTTTCGCATCCACTTCATTTGTAGCTCAATATCCTCGAACAAAGTTTTTTTATCAATAAAGCTTGAAAAATTCGTGCCAAAATTATCTATTCAAGAACAACAAAAACGGAGAAACATCCGTAAACACGGTTCCAGAGAATTTTTGGAAATAGTGGTACTGCAACTGAAAATATCGTCATACAAAGCTTAAAAATCGAAAGTGGCGGCAAACTTCGAACTCATAACGAGCCCCAATTTTTCTTAATTTTTTCAACTTTGACTATCGTTCATTTCAAAAATTTCTATGAAAGCTGCCCAAACATCCAAATAGTATATACCTAAATGAACATTTATTTTCAAATAAAGTGATACCTCATCAAATGTTATTGTATAAAAATTGTCGAATTTAAGCCATTAAAGCTTAAATACGGTCTTGAACTTATGTATATCTGTGTATCCATGTTGGCAAAATATTAATCTGATTATCGATTAAAAATTAACTATTAAAACTAATCAATCGTAAACAACTGTACGATTAATGATTAATTTTTTTAATCGATACCCTTCGGTTTGGCACCCCACTTTTATTTTTTAAACAAGTGGCAACCCTCCTTAAGGTAAATTAAGAAAGAATACTTTTAAAACCATTTCCTTTGATACCCATTTTTTAATATTTGATTTTTTTTAGATAATTTGAGTATAATTTCTTCAAAGGTAGCAACTTTTTTCAAAAAGGTAAAACTTTATTGCATATCTGGAGTCCAGGGCTTTTAATTTGACACCTCACTTAGGAAAATCGAATGCAAGGTGCGGTTATTATGACATTGATCAATTTTTCTCTACAGATGGAAACTCGAAAATATAAAACCAGTTTGCACAGGCCTAGCACTTTAATATGACGCCCCATTTTTGAAAATCAAGCGAATGGTGTAGATCTTTTATCCCGGACGAAAACTCTCTGTGCGTGTTATATGTGTAGATAGTTAATATTTGGCGCTTCCATTTTTGCTAAGTGTTTGGCCGAGCTTCTCCTCCAATTCGTGTTATTACACAAATCCAGGAACCTGCAGTNTGCAGTGCTCTTAAGACAACGACGACATGGCAATTAGAGCTTGAACGTGTTGCCAAGATGTTGTGCCAGCATCAGCATGTTGCCGGCGCATTCTAAGCAGCCAAGTCAAGTTCGTGCTCGATATGTTGGTGCTGCCGCTGGAAGGCCACCAGCGTGTATGTATGTGAAGAATTAGTTCTAGCAAGTGCTTATTTAAGCAATTTTTCACGGTGCAACTTTCTGCTCTGTGCTGGCGTCCATAGTATGCTTGCTGCTAAATTGCTGCTGATAAACTTTTCAGATTTGCCACTTGGCGCATGGTAACGTACTGGCCTACGTTTAAAGCGCATATCTGTTCACTTTTAGTTTAATAGACTAATAAATCGGTATTTTTTATTTTTCTTTCTTTATCTTTCTTCCTATCGCGCGCGCGCTACACTAATTTAGGCTTAAATTGGAGTACTACGAGCAGGCCTGTGCGGTGGACAGCGTGACAAAGAAGTGCGCTGGGCGACCGGGTGGCTGCCGCACTGCCATGATTGGCATACTAGGCACAATGTTGCGCACAACCTGCGCCTGCCAGGGCACCGATCCGCAGCATCTCTACCAGTGTGTGGGCTGGCGCCGTTTACTCTGGCTCAATCCGTGTGTTGGTGAGTACACATTTCTCACATACATACATACTTATTTATGTATTTTTGGAAAAAGGAGAAGACTTCATATTGCAAATTAATTATTAATTTGTGAACTTTANTATTTCTCACATACATACTTATATATGTATTTTTGGTAAAAGGAGAAGACTTCATATTGCAAATTAATTATTAATTTGTGAACTTTATTAAATATACTTGTTTTATGAGCTTTAATAATTTTTGTCGTCTGTTGCTTAATTAATTTTATTCTGCTTCCCGCAGTCGAAGCTCAAAAGGACTTCCACATGAAACGTCTCGCCGAATTGGGTTACCTAACGACTACAACAACCACGACCACAACAACCACTACAACAACAACCCGTGCTCCGCCACCGCCTCCACCGCCGCCAGTGCTGACGACGGTTACCACCACAACTANCTAATTTTCTTCTATTTCCCCACAGTCGAAGCTCAAAAGGACTTCCACATGAAACGTCTCGCCGAATTGGGTNTTAATTTTATTCTGCTTCCCGCAGTCGAAGCTCAAAAGGACTTCCACATGAAACGTCTCGCCGAATTGGGTTACCTAACGACTACAACAACCACGACCACAACAACCACTACAACAACAACCCGTGCTCCGCCACCGCCTCCACCGCCGCCAGTGCTGACGACGGTTACCACCACAACTACACATCGCCAACCGCCCACATCGCCACGGCAGACATCACGCAAGCAGGCAACACACATCTTTCGGGGATATCCGGTAAGTGAAGTGGCTGGCATAATGATGCTGTTAACGATTACATCGATTAGCAATAAGCTGGTGCATTTGTATTCATTCAGTGATGGTGGCTGCAATTTCCATTTTCCTTGAGGAAATCTCTTCAGTGTAAGGTTTGATTATTTTCACTGAAATTCAAAGAAAAATCACCACATTTTGAAATTCTGCCTCAAGAAAGGCAAGGTTAAAATGATACTTTGTTTTTCATGTATAAAAAAAGCCATTCATGAAGGGTTCGATCAATCGCAATGAAGATTGGGTCACATTCGGTCGAAAAATTATGGTACGAACGGCGGAAAAAGCCAGATTTCCTATCAGCCCAATCCTAAATCATTCCTGTAGATCCGACGCCTGAAATTATGAGAAATGAGACTTTGAACTCATCCTGACATACATATTAGACATTGGGCTATATATAATGTGCCCGGCGCGACTAGGACGGACCATTTTTTGATAAAGCGCTAGCTCCTGGTTAAAATTTGGCCTTCAGTTATTCATAAATATAATACGAAAGATAAGACCTCTTCCCGATTTATACAAAGAAGGCTGATTCCGAGGTAGATGGCGCGTATGACGAGGTCGCCTTTCTTGTGGAGTGGATAGAGTACACTTAAATTCCAGTCGTGGGGCGTTCATCTAACCATATTCTGCATAGAAGCAGCTTGGTTGTTTTTGAGCCTCGAAATTGCTAATCGTACCTCGTTATTCTTAGCCGTTGACTGGGAACTTGGGACCATTTCCTCCGCTGTTAGCGCGTTACTATCAAAATAGTTTCCAGTGGTCAATTGTACAAATTCATATGGCGGTATTTTGAACAATTTCATTAAAAAAAAGAAGTACCATAAGAGCCTTAATTTTTCTTTTTATTGGAAGTTATTTAGCGTGTAGAGTCCCAAAGTGAGCGCAGAGCACAAACCAGGGTGCATTAGTCGTTTAATTTATGCTAAAGGAAACCGGAAGCCAGAAACCAGTAATAATACCAAAATATACGAGCATGCCGACTAGGTGAATCTTATTTTTTTGTTTTACAATAAAATAATTTTCGTCCATTTACCAGGCCGGGTTGAAGTTCGAAAAAAGTTTCACACAAAAGTTACATTTTTTCCCCTCAAAATCCGAGTCTGTATTAATTCAGTTTAACCCATTTCTGATCGAAACGGAAAGCCAGTAATAACACCAATAAATATTGGTCTAGGCAACTCTGTATAAGCACATGTTTCGTATGCAGAAATGTACGTATGTAACAATTACAACAAGTATTCCATTATAACTTGAAGTTACATATCGAAGGTCCTCTGCAATAATGACACAATTCAAAATTCAAAAAATATAAACTTGTCTAATCCATTAACAGTCCTTACTAAAGTAAGTAGTAAGAATTGCTAAATTAAATAACAAAGATTAGACATGGAATCGACAAGGATTAGTCACATGAGGCACTTAACAGTAGTAACAGTTTTTATCTCTTGAATTTTGAATTGTGTCGTTATTGCCCACACCATCGATATTTACGTATATGTATGAATAAACCGCAAACAAAAATTATTTTAAAAAACTTACCGAACACATATATACATATATATGTAAGTATGTAAGTATGTAAATACTATATATATATGTACATATGTATATATAAAAAGACATAAATAATCAAATTTTTATACTCGAGCTCCACATATCTCTTTTTCACTTCCATGTTGCAATTATAACGAAACCAACAACACAACACTTTTGCCTCATGACTCTTCAACAACGTTGCAACAACAACGAAAACAAACTATGATATTTGTTGTATCGAAAACTCAACCATTTTTAATAACCAACTTCCAATAACCACAAACAATGAAAAACTGCCAAACTCGAAACGAAATATGGCAAATCTGAAATGCAGCCAAAAGAGAAATCNTGCTGCAATTTCCATTATCCTTGAGGAAATCTCTTCAGTGTAAGGTTTGATTATTTTCACTGAAATTCAAAGAAAAATCACCACATTTTGAAATTCTGCTTCAAGAAAGGCAAGGTTAAAATGATTATTTGTTTTTCATGTATAAGAAAAAGCCGTTCATGAAGGGTTCGATCAATCGCAATGAAGATTGGGTCACATTCGGTCGAAAAATTATGGTACGAACGGCGGAAAAGCCAGATTTCCTATCAGCCCAATCCTAAATCATTCCTGTAGATCCGACGTCTGAAATTATGAGAAATGAGACTTTGAACTCATTCTGACATACATATTAGACATTGGGCTATATAACTATAATGTGCCCGGCGCGACTAGAACGGACCATTTTTTGATAAAGCGCTAGCTCCTGGTTAAAATTTCGCTTTCAGTTATTCATAAATATAATACGAAAGATAAGACCTCTTCCCGATTTATACATAGAAGGCTGATTCCGAGGTAGATGGCGCAATGTTTCTCTTAATAACATAAACACGCTCTGGACACCAGCTCCAGGTGGTCGTGGTTGGTCTTATAAAAGTTCGACCTGCAGTGCATATCTGATATGGCGTATGGCAATATTTTGAACAATTTCAATGGATTTCACTAAAAAAAGCACCATAAGAGCCTTCATTTTCATTTTTATTTGAACTTATTTAACGTGTAGAGTCCCAAAGTGAGCGCAGAGCACAAACCAGGGTACATTAGTCGTTTAATTTATGCTAAAGGAAACCAGAAGCCGGTAATAATACCAAAAGTTACGAGCATGCCGTTTTACAATAAAACAATTTTCGTCCATTTACCAGGCCGGGTTGAAGTTCGAAAAAAGTTTCACACAAAAGTTACATTTTTCCCCCTCAATATCCGAGTCTGTAGTAACCCACTTCTGGTCGAAACCGAAAGCCGGTTATAACACCAACAAATAGTGGTCTAGGCAACTCTGTATAAGTACATGTTTCGTATGCAGAAATGTACGTATGTAACAATTACAACAAGTATTCCATTATAACTTAAAGGTACATATCGAAGGTCCTCTGCAATAACGGCACCATTCAAAATTCAAAAAATATAAACTGTTACTACTCTTAAGTGGCTCTTGTCTCTAATCCTTGTCTAATCCATTTCCAGTCCTTACTAAAGTAAGTAGTACGGATTACTAAAGTAAATACTAAAGATTAGACATGGAATCGATAAGGATTAGACACATGAGGCACTTAACAGTAGTAAAAGTTTTTATCTTTTGAATTTTGAATTGTGTCGTTATTGCACAGACCATTGATTATTACGTATATGTATGAATAAACCGCCAACAAAAATTATTTAAAAAAACTTACCGAACATACATATACATACATATGTCAGTATGTAAATACGATATATATATATACAATTACATAAATAATCAAATTTTTATATTCGCGTTCCACTTTTTTCTTATTCACTTCCATGTTGCAATTATAACGGAACCAACAACACAACACTTTTGCCTCAATAACTCTTCAACAACGTTGCAACAACAACGAAAACAAACTATGATATTTGTTGTGTTGAAAACTCAACCATTTTTAATAACCGACTTCCAATAACCACAAACAATGAAAAACTGCAAAACTCGAAACGAAATATGGCAAATCTGAAATGCAGCCAAAAGAGAAATCGGAACCCACATCAATGGAGGACAATTATATCGAACAGCCAGATTCGATACCCTTGCATAGCGGAAATGATGAAAACGGAAATACCGGAAATGGCGATTATCACAGCGGCAAGGGGAAAGGCAACGGCAACGGCAATGGAAATGGAAATGGCAGAAGTAATGGTAATGGAAACAGCGCTGGCAGCGCTACTAGTGCTGCCGCCAATGCTGCACGCCATGGCAAAAATGGCAAAAACAATAAAAACGGCAAGAATTCGAAACATAATAACAACAACAACAACAATGGAAACGGTAATAGTAATGGCGGCAGTGGCAATGGTGGCCATGGTGCTAGCGCTGTTCACAAGAATGGTGCTCACGACGGCAACGGCCATGTCGCAACAGCGGAAGCTAAAGACGCTGGCGCAGCAGTTGTGGTAGCTCGTGGTAATGGAAATGATTTTGGCGATTTCGATGAACAAACGATTTCAGGAGAACAAATCCAAACAACCGAATATTTAGAAAATAGTGTAACAGAACCGCCAGCCACTACGACCACAACATTGGCGACCACAACAACAACGCAACCGCCAAGTGAGTAGACAAAAAAACTATTATCTTTTTTATGCCTATGCAGAAAACCGCATTACCAAAAAGCTGGGTTGATTCAACACATATTTCATTCTAACGTTTATACTTCAGTCTTTATAGCGCACTCGATTAAAACGTATTGAAATATAAACAAAGTCCCTTAGTTTTATTCGACATCTATTTAATAATAAATTTGCGCGGTGGATCGAAATGGAAGCGAAAAAATCGGCCCACCCTAATACACACATTTACTTCTCATTCGATTAGCTTCAAAAATGTTTATGAGTTCTATACACGAAATAAGCAAACAGGTATCTATTCTCGTTTTTTCCACGGAGGTATGATCTTCCAAAGTTTGGATTTTTTTCGTGATTCTGACCAAGTATGTATGTATATACTTTCTCAGATCGTAATATTTCCGGTTCTACTCTTCGTCTTAACGTCTCTTTAATGCTTAAGAAACGGGATTACGATTTCTATATGGAAGGTGTTCATGATGGTCTTAAAGGTATTCTAGTTATAAATAATCGAGTTTTTTTGAAGTTGATTTAAATAGTGAATTAATTCTCTGTAAAATCCATCTTTTAAAAACGGGGGGTTGTTCAAGAACTATTTTTTTATGCACCTCGTTTTATTTTGAGTGAGTGAACAATATTTGGTAATAATTTTCTTAAAACTTTTGAAAAAGTATGTACATAATTGGTGAGAGTCATGAAAAAATTTAAATCTTGACAGATCATATTTATCTCCGAAGAAAAAAATCCGATAATATGTGTTAGCTTATTTCATTTATAAAGCCCACAAAACAAATTGAAGCAAAACGGAGATATAACATCATTTTTTCTTCGAACATCCGATTCAATCCATTGTGGTTTGTTTATTTTGTTTTATTTTAGTTGTTTTTGCCAAAGTTCATATTTCGCTTTCCATTCATTTGTCGTTGGCTTCATTTGATTTGAATTAATCGCTCTATGACGTACAAGCATTCATTGTCCTCTTGGTTTTACCATTAATTTTTTGTCAATTTCTTTCCTTTATTTTCTTTGCGTCATGCAAACCCATAATTTCTGTTCTCTACTTTATTATTCTCTGTCCTGTCGAGTATTTCAACAGCTACATAATTCAACAACCCTTTCACAAACAAATCTACATCATACGTGTTAGTACATACTAGGGATGTTAATTTTTTACACCGGAATTTTCAGGATGCCATTATCACAATCCCGGAATTTACATATTCACTACTTTTCAATAACTTAAATCGAAAAAATTGCTTCTATAATGTTTGAGAAGCCCTCCTACTATAAAATAAATAATAAATAAATGGGTTTGAAACCTACTTGTTTATTTAAAGTGGCGTTTTTATTTTTTCTCTCTGATGTCAGGATTTATTTTAAAAGACTTTGTAATTTCAAAGATATGATTAATTCCAAAAAGTACCAAATGAAGGAAGAAATTTCTTTGGAATTTAAAAAAAAAATAAAATTTTTTTTGCATTCACAAGGACGAATACGATTTTTTTTAAGCTGATAAAGTTAGAATGAAATTCAAAGATTTTTTCGCGTTTATATAAGTCCTTAACGTATAATTTTTTCAAAAACAAATATTGCGAAATTTTAAGGATACAATTTTAAAAGGACAATTTCAATACATACCAGTCCTTCTGCACCAAAAACTTGAATCTGTTTAAATTTGTCAGGATCTCCTCTTTAATTTGATACCTATACTTTTGCATTTCACTGAATTTTTTTAATCTTTTTTGAATTACTAACGTCAGAGTGAAAAACTAAAAATGCAATTTTACTGAATTTGTCCCATGCTTTCGCGAATATATTGAATTTTGTGTGCTATTGCACGGTGTTATATGTATAATGACTAGGCATTTATAAAAAAATATTAATTATTAAATAAAAAATAGAAATATAGCCAATACTGGCCAAGAAAAGGAGTTTCTATTATTGCCATCAGTGCAAATTACAAATCCCGAAAATTTTTGGGATTTTTGGGGCCTTAAAAAGGACGGGATCCCGGGATTAACATTCCTAGTACATACATACATCACGTGGGAGTCAATTTTTTATGTATTTACTAATGTTGGGCACTTTAGTTCTTTTAAGTGAACCGTTCAGTTGTAGTTCTGTCACCTCAGTGCACTAGTTCATATAGTTGATTTAGTTCAATTGACGAATTTTATTTTTAAAAATATTTATTTTTATTATCACATATTCTATATACAAAAGAAAAACTTACATATTGCTGTGCAATAACATTAAATTAGAAAGCTTGTTTGATTTTAAACCCGTTCTACGCTAGTTAAATATTCGTTAGGAATAAAACCGTAACCGTTTCGAGCACAGGTTTCAATCGGTTTCCAGAAATTTATAAAAATCAGTTGCAGGATCTAGCAACCAACATTTTTTTCCTCAGTAGCATAAATTCGCGAATCGCTTTCCAAAATAAGAATTTGTAGCAGTTGCAAATTTAAAAATGAAGAGACCGAATTAGCGAACTAGTTCATTGAGATGAACTAGTGATTTAGTTCATTTAGTTCAAGAACTACCCAAGCCCAGTATCTCCATACATACTTGTGTATTGTACATACACACATACGCACATGCATACATACGTATTTTTAGTTAAGGCCTTAAACAACACAAACGTTTATTTNAGACCGAACTAGCGAACTAGTTCATTGAGATGAACTAGTGTTTTAGTTCATTTAGTTCAAGAACTACCCAAGCCTAGTATCTACATACATACTTGTGTATTCTACATACACACATACGCACATACATACGTATTTTTAGTTAAGGCCTTAAACAACACAAACGTTTATTTCTGTCTCGCATTTAATTAATAAATATTTTTTACATTGTCTTCTTTATTTCCAGGAAATTGCGTTGTTCAGCGTCCACATCAATCAGATCAGTTAATACGTGAAGGATCCAGCAAGCGGGTATGTGAAAAAAACATTTCTGCATGCAAGCTATTCACTTAATTAATTTTGAGCGTGCATAAAGGTTTGCATACACACCACGAAAGGTGGAAAAAAAAACATCCGAATCATATTGATCAAATTTTTGATGTTTTATTAAACTTCACAAAATTCTTTTCATTCACAGAACATTCATAAGTAGTATTTAAAAATCTGTAAAACTTTAGAAATGAGACAAGTAAATTTAAATTTATTTTTTACCTTTTCTACTTCGCACAGATATACTCCTTGGACGATGCTGAATGCAGCGAATTATGCAGCTGTGGGGAGTCACTAGCGCTCACCTGCCATGCTCTCTGCGTGCCTTTTGCACCCTGCCGCACCGCATTGGCATTCTACAGTCATGCATCGCCCGCATATCAGGCATTCCGTGGACGTTGTCTCTGCTATTCAGGTCGTTTTATATGCATGAAACCACCGCTGGGCGAATACACGCTGCCAGGTAATTTGAAAATTATTGATAACTTTGAAATATAATTCGGTTTAACTGATAAAAGTCAAATTTCAAAGAAAATTACACTTTCAATTTAAAATAATCAGCCAAATTTAAATGCATCTGTCTTTAGAATACATTTTCAAATTAAAGATAAGTGCTTTTAAAATTTCGTTCAATCTGATCATATTCCTATGTGCTCTAGTTCTTAAACTGCAGAGTGAGCTTGAAAAATACTTTTTCCCCTTACACATAATTAAATACTTAGCTTCCTCATTCAACTGTAGGCCTAATTTCATTGTGCCCGTAATTGAAGAAAACTCGAAACTTCGAAATAAATACTTATTTACATAAAAAAATTTATTCTAAAAATTATGCCCTATAAAATGTAAGGGGACTACTGATGTACAGGGGTACAGGGGTACAGGACTGATGAATCGGTAGCTACCTGATAAACACCGTCAATTACCGAATTACTTTTACAAGGCAATGTCCTGGCGGTAGTCACCATCGGCTCTCTCTGTACCTCCGGGAGTTACTAAAGTAGTCATTTGCGTGATTTATGGGCACCCTCTGTCGTAGTTTTACGCTATTCTGCTTACGACCCTCCAGTACTGCTGGAGTCATTCGCTACTTTTGAATCGCTACTGCGCCGACTCCTAGGTAAGTAGCTACTCTATTAACCCGTGGTAGTGCACACGGTAAGTGCAGAGTCGAACCAGTCGGAAGCAGAATAGCGAAAAACTACGACTGATTAATTTTAGGGGTTTATTGTTAAAGAAAAAACATTTTTTTTTTTTCATTTTCATAAAATTTTTAGGACTTATTTTTTCATATGGAGCGACTCTAGAGCCATAGTTAACCAAGATATCATTGGTCCAGTAGCGGAGGGACGTAGTATGGTACCTTTCTGCAATATGTATATTCTGCCGCCATTGCTATTTGCTTAGTTTATACGTACAGTGGTGGCACAATAAATGGGAACGGGAAATTTTAACAAATTTTGGCTATTTTTCTTGGTGTATTTATTGTTTTTTTATTTTTTTAATGAAAGTATATCTCACTATCTAACAAAAATTATGTAAGTCCAAATATACAACTTCGTAACAAATTCTACAAAGTTTCATCAATATTTTTTAATCTTGTTAATCGAATTTTTTGAAAAAATGGAGTTATGCAGCTTTGTAGGCCGTCAAATCTTAATACAAGTTTAAATAAGCTGGGCTTACCGAGGATTTTCGGCCTTTTTTTTGCTGACTGTGTAACGCATTATTATTATACTAAAATTTAAAGGGCTGCACATACAACAAATTTTTCTAAAAATTCTGATTAAAAAATTTTAAGTTTTGATGAAAACTTGTTGAAATTTGTCGAGTTTTTATAAATCTTGTAGAAAGTTAGAAATTTTGATTTATACTTTTGTTAAATAGTGAGCTATACATTTAATGCAAAAATACAATGATTCTATTTTATTTTAACTTTGTACTACTATTTTGTTTTTTTTTTCAGGCGGTGTCTTTCTATTACTTGGCTATAGCTCTGCTGATGAGGCCCTCCTGCGCCCACACACAAATCTCGGCGTACAAGATGCTGTAAGAGCATTGCAGCAATATGTTACTACACACATAGACAACCAGGTACCAAAATTATTTAAATTTGAAGATTTTTTAATATAAAAGTTAATATGCATACATATAGACATACATACGTAAATATCAGCCACCTATTCAAGTACTAACAATTTTTAATTTTAAATTTTTTGTATATTTTCTCCATTAATTTTTCTGCTATCCAAACATTATTGCCACCACAATTCCTTCGCCGCAGACTCAATGCACTCTAACGCTATTCAATATGACCGATGAGAATATCATAATTGCCGCTCGTCTGCCACATGATGCTAAACTCAAAGCCATTGAACTGCTGGGCAAAGAGAAGGTAATGATTACACAAATACATAAATCTATAAGCAGCGAACATTTTTTGATTGCCCTCAATTTAGTTTGCCCTCATAAATGGTATAGCATTTGAACCCTTTGCAATGAACTCTTATCAATTCACAAGGGCTCATCGCATCATCGTACGCAACCACCAACCAGAGCCAATCGCTTATTTGCTCTCTTATCATTTCCTCTTTCAGGACGAGTGCACTTCTATACTGAAGACCATTAGCCATCATATCAACACTGAACATCATGAATTGCAATCCCACCGACTGTTGAGCATTTTCAAAATGTCCGAAGTCGAAGTCGTTTGGCCAGAGAGTAGTCATGCGTCCGCACAGCTGCACAATGGACCCACAGCGTGCCTGCTGCCGCTGGCGTTGCTGGTGTCTATCATCATAACAACGCTGCTACGTGATGGCCGCAGCTTGCAGTTGGGGAGCGGTGTGTGGCGCGGCGCAGGCTACGTGCCAACAACATGACCAATGGCGCATACGTAATCACAAGTAAGAGATGCACTACATAGCAAGCCATAAAAATATACTACTTATAAATTATAATAATACAAATTTGTACATGCATAAATCGGAAATAAGTGAAAAAAAAGTAAAATAAAACTTAAAGCAAAAAAAACAAACCTAAAACTGATAAGCAAATTAGTTAATTTTAATGCGTAAGCTGTTAAAATGTTAAGCAAATAAAATTATGATTTTCAAATACATATAAAATTATTTGAAGTGCATATACATACATGCAAGCATAAAAAATTCTGCATAGTATAATATGATGACAACAAGAAATAAACAACTGCTTAGGAGAGTATTAAATGGCAATTTGTACGTGGTTATAGGTTAATCGGTGTGTAAAAAATTACGTGTAGTGCAATGTGTGCTGACCATTCGTATGTAAATAGTATATATGTATGAATGAATAAGGCATAAGAAAATTAGTAGTATGGAGTTAAGTACCTACATACAAAAGACCAATAGTAACGAAAGAAGCTAATTGATTGAGTATTTGCTAAAATTGAGGTTATTAAGAGTTATGTGGAAAATAATAAGCTGTTCAATAAACACAGGCATATACATACCTACGTGCAGACATCGCAACACATTTTTACATTCACACATAAAAACATTTAAATTAAATGATTTGCGTTTAAAAATTAATTTGATGTGAATTGCTTGATTAGAAATTTTATGGTTATTATTACAAAAAAAAAAAAATCTATTGCTTTCAAAGTTCTCCTACACTGAGAAAAGCGATTAGTTGCGCAAACTAAATAGGGCCGAAAATTTTAAGCTTTTTCTTGGAATTGCTAATTTTGCTTATTCAGGGACTCAAAGCTTAATTTTAACGATCATTTGATATTTTGCTTATTTTAATGCATGTTAATTCTTTCCCAATTTCCGGCGATGGAGATTTCGATGCTATTCGTCGAATTAAAAAATTCCAAAGCAAAGATTTGTCTCTACGGGAAGGCATTGGTGTTATTGAAGAAATTAAAAATTATTTATCATAGAGGATAAGGGATATTTAAAAAAAATTAATTCAGTTTTGAAAAAAAAAATTAAGGTTTCATATCTTATTTTTAATAATACTAAAAAGCAGAAAGGCAATATCTAATTTTAAACTCTGTCCAGTCACATCAGTGGATGTCGAAATGTCATTTACCGTCTATTCAACGCTCTTAAATGACCAGCGCAGATCTTTAATATTTGAGAATATCAACGAACAATTTTGCATTGTCCATTTTAATTTTTTAATGCTTGAAATAAACTCAATAGAAAACAAAACATTAAATTGTACTTAAGTTTTTTGATTGCTTTTTCGAGCATATTTACCAATGTTTTAATGCTTTTCTAAGCGCTTAAATTGTTTTTTTTCTGGCTTATTTTTTCGGCCCTGGTTATCACATTTAATGTTGAGTGAAATATATGTATGTACCAAACTCTTCTCTCAGTGCATTTTCCTCTATATTTGCAGTAAACCCGCATAATTTTCCAAATTTAATTTTGATTTAAGCTGAGATGTGAAACCATGAGTATTAGTATGAGAGATTTTTTAGATGGGCCGGAAAATCCCAAATGTATGTTCAATTTTGACTCATAAACTTTATATCTGTCTTCCACATTTAATCAGTACTCCTTCTAAAAGCTCACTATGCCAAGCAGTTCACAGGAAGCTTGTTAAAGCGCTTTGCGACTAAGCCACTTAGTGAATATGAGCAGCGGATAAGAAGCCTTGGTGGTTAAAAACATTCCCAGACGATTTCGCCATAAACTTAAAAAAAAACAATACTACCGAAATTATGCCTTAATAAATCCCTACAACTTCATCACATTCACTCCCTACCCCCCGAAAGGAATCTTTAACTTTCTAAGGGACTCATATTTAAAAGAAGTTGTTTAAAGAATAGTGGGAATAGTATATATCCCGGTGACTCTATCTATCACATAGGCCCTGCAAAGTAATGAATCCGGAGGAGAGTTAATTACAACGATTGACATAGGTTCCCAACTCTGGTATACTGATGGTTTCAAGTTCGAGGATGACAATGTTGAGGCTTGTATATTTGTGCCTACAGAGGTACCAAAAACTTGCAACAATAGGTGCCAACCATATTTAATGCGGACATCTTTGCAGTTGAAATCTATGACCGCGAATGTCTTCGTAGAATTTGATTGTGGCCGTTGATCGGTCATCGGCATAGTCCACGAAGACCACATGCAGTGGCTTGTGTGATAGATTTAAAAATTAGTTTTCTATAGAAGCGTTAAAAACATAACAAAAAAGAAGAACTTATCTCAACTAATCCTTTACAGTTTAAATTTGAGACTACTTAGTTGGTAACATAAGTTAAATTATCGATTTAAAGATGAATAAGGCTAGACTGAACCTAACAAAACTTGGATTGTGGTGAAGGTAAGTGAAGCATATGGCATTCAAATGTCCCCCACTTTTATCTATGCTCACTTTTTGATGGCCTGAAATTAATTTTTTTTTTTCACACCAATTGTAATCAATTACCTCCACTCGAATTTGTGGCCACTTTACAAGCGATAGTGAAATATTGCATATATGTATGTATGTGAGTATGCAAGTAAGCAAGTATAAACGTACTCATTTCGCTATTTTTCAAATCAGTTTTTCTTTACTTTGTTGCATTGAAATGCAAATATAAATGTAGACAGAGGTATGCAGGACACATGCATATGAACGACAATGTAAGCGTAAAAGCAATGTACATACGAGTACATACATACGTAGACGATGGATAATTTATTGCTTCACATTAAGTATCACTTTCAATTTTTACGCTTTCATTCCATCGCTCATTCAGTGCATTTTCAATGCATTCAAAAAATTTTTTATGATTGCCTGGTCTTTTGACAGCTTTGGCGGACATTAAACAATTATATACTCATTTATAGTATGTATGTATATGTTTTTATTGACATTCTTTTACATGTGTGTGTGTGTGTGCTTATGCAGAGACTGACTGATTGATTGGGTTTTTATTCCAACATTTCAACTTAAATTCAGAAATACATACATACAAATGTGGTAATGATTTCCGAATGTCTGCAACGTGCCTTTGAAGTTGTGCAGCTGTGTAACCGACAATTTGCGGCAGCTATCTGCAATATGGCATCATGGTGGTCAATTTAAAATGTGTCAATTATATTCAATAATGATACCTTGACAATGTGTACAGTGGGCCTAGCGCGGACAAATGTAGTGCATAAATCTGTTAAACATCTTTTTACATTGAAATCTTTGAAAATCAGTTGTTTATAAACAGCATGGACCAGCGGAGGGCTGAGATTAAGAAAAAGTTAGCCAAATCATCAATAACAGTGACTATTACTGATTAAATACATACTTCGTTTACGTTATGCATAAAAAATTTCTACTTCTTGAACCAGTTCGAGGAATCTACAACCTTTGCCATTTGTCGTATTCAAAACTCTGCAGTTGCGTTTAGATCATCTAAAAATATTATAGCCAGGAATTCTTGTCTTTTCCTGCATAGTTCGATTGCCAACGCGGAGTAAGTGCTTGATTTGTTTCGGCTCTTCTCCATCGTGTCAGCTCCCGCAGACATTTGGCATATTTTACCCGTGCTATAAAGATACTTACATATGCTCTGTGAGCATATGGCCTTTCCGTTGAGAGTGAGATCTTCTGTTTCTCTGCTCATGTTTCAATTAGACCACGTAAGCTTCGTTGTACTGCAGGTTTCAGTGCGTTCCCATCAAGTACCCGTTTCTTAAAGGAAACTTTCCATTAGCTGGAAACGAGCGGCATATTTATCCTCTTACAGACTGGTTAATGGAAGCGTGCCCTCTTGCAAGCTCGTCAGCCTTTTCATTTCCGGGTATGTCGCTTTACCCCGGTGCCTATACCAGGTGAAAATCAAGCTGCTCTTAATGGCCGCCCCCCGTACTTTCTTGAGAATAGTACCAGTCCAAAAAGCGTCTGTGAAATTTGACCGCTTACCGAAAGTGAAAGACCATCCGCATACGCGATAACATTACAGCCCCCCCCCACTGATGTTATACAGTAGTGTGTTTATCAAAGCTGCCCAAAGGAGAGGGTATGGGACTAACCTTTCGTATATATGTGTTTGAAAATGACAGACGTAGAGAAAAATGATTAACATTTGTAACGACTAGGTGAATTTCGAAGCTTAAAGTCAGTTCGCTCAACTTCAAGCGGCTGGACCCTTTTTGAGTATTTATTCAATTATTGCGACACACTGTGCCGCACTTTTGTCATTGTATGACAACGGCTCAATTGTAATATTTGATTGACTTTTGTTCACACTATCTGATTTAATTTATTAACAAAAATAATTCAATGAGATCCTTTCTCTCTTTGGACTTAATAATAGCTGCGTATGTGACATTGCAGTTCCTTATTGTAATGGATATTATTAATATTAAAAGCGTCGTTTTGTTCATTTACTCGCGCGAATTTCTTAATGGCATCAACGACAAAAGCTTTTCACAAAAAGGAAATTAAAAAGCACGAAACAAATTGATTTTCAACACTCCTTACAACTGAAGCTTACGATTGCGCTCGCGAAAGCTTAACAAAAAATTTACCTATTTTGAATAATGACAGGGATTCAATGCGAAATTTCCAGTTAAGTGTCTAATGGTACTGGCCGGATATCTGCTTTCTTCAACTTTAGAACTGTCAAAAAATATTAATTAAAAAAAAATTCTGCGGAGCTTCTCCTTCTTCTCCTTGTGGCATGCGTTTTTAAGTTGCACACAAATGAAGGCACCTACAGTTTTACACCGCCTCCGAACAGCGCAGGGATTTTCACGGCAAAAGTAGTAAATACAGATTTTTGCCATTGGCTGCCGAGGAGCGAACGATATTGGAAAACACATTTTTGGACATTGCTCTGACTGGGAGTTGAACTTTGGTTTCTGTATGGTATTTGTATTTTACTTAACATTTTTGGTTTGAAAGTACAAAATGAAAATTCCTTTTTTCCATATGTTTGGGGTGAGTAGCATTTTTTAAGTTGCGGTCTATGCGCCAGCGGCGC